AACATATTGCAGTTCAAGAAGCACAATCACCCCTATGACCTCTGAGAAGAAGGTCCCTGTAGCAGGGAGGACAATAGAGGTCCCAATGGGTGGCAGACTCAGGAGGTATTTCCTGTGCAGTACCTGTGTGCACCTTCTACCCTGTGCGTGATCAGTAGGAAGCTAACCTTTCTTTTTTTCCTGATGCTGATGGCCATCACCAAAGTCTGGAGTGGTTACTGGCAGGAACATCAATGCAAAGCAACATGTGGATACCTGTGCACTTGCTGTCCCTCTACAAAGCAGGAAAAACTCAGCCAGCAATGCATGAGCAACCAGGTATGCCACTGGAGTTATTTTAACACAGAAGAAAATTCATGCTGCCTGCAGTTTGAGATATTTTTCCAAAAAATTTTAGACAAAAATATTCATAAATAATGGAGTGATGGAATGCTAATAATAGAAGTAACACATTGCTTGTCTGCAGTGTTTCTATACAATTAGTGAGTTTGATATAGGAACACTGCACCCTCTGAAAGAAAATTTGTTGGATTAAAATCCAATTCTCCAACTGGAAAGAAGTGTTCATCAATTTAGTAAATATGTGGACTAAATAGTCGGGGGGGTTGAGGTGTATATAATACTGTATTTGAAGGATGAAAGCAAATGCTATCATTATTCCTCTGTTATTACATTGCAAAAGTGGGGGTGGAAAGATTGTAAGAGCCAAAGAGGAGGTGCACAACCATATGGAAATAGAGTCCCAGAGGGTCCTGGGACACTGCTCATATGGACCTACAGCAATGGTGTCAGCATGCACAAGACCCATGCAAACTCAAGGGGACAAAAATCCATCACAGAATTATGGAAATGAGCAGCAGGCTCCAATCTTAGAGGAAGAGTTATTGGCAGCTGATTACTGCTGGGTGAAGAAGAGCTGATCTTCTTAAAGGGAGGGGCTCTAGATAGGCTGACTAGACCTCAGCAGACAAACTTACACTGCGCGATGCCTAGGGACACTAACTTGACTCAATAGGCCTTAACACAAGTGACA